TATTTTAAAAAATATTAGTAATTTTTATCTAATTTTTGGATATTCCTACTCTGGAGAAGCTCCCCTATCCGTACATACCCCATTTCTATGGAAATTCGGTTTTTTTACCCCTCCGCCAAAGTAATCGGAATCGTGCCTTTCTTTAGAGCTGCGTACTAGCAYAAGTTAATTTTTCACAGGAAAGTTACTTGACCGTTTCTTAAGGTTTTTTTTATATGAAGTTTTTACATTACTTGAGAGCTGGATACCAACCTTTAAGTATAAATGACACAAATGTCAAATTCGGATGAACGCGCTACTTTTTTTATGAATGGCAACGACATATTTTAGAGAATACGTTCATTCGCCATTCACCAGGGATAATGGGATGCCCAACTCCTCTCTCACTGGAAGTTGCTAAACGTAAAAACCTACCGAACTTTGACAGTTGACTGGATTGAGTAGGTTTTGACGTTTTGCAATTGGAATGACTGGAACGGCCAGATTGAAATTATACCAAAAATATATGTGAACGGAGGAATTTATTGCCGCCGTTCAAGATCGCTAATAAAAACTTAAAACAATAAAAATCAAAAATAATGCGAAATTTAAATATATATCATGAAACGTTTTGTAATTTGATGCATAATAGAATTAATATTTTATTACAAATGATTAAAAACATTTATAATTTAAGAACTAACAGGCTTAATTCACCTTATTAAGTATTGAAATATCGAAAGTCAGTTTTTTTAATATACCATAAAATCCTAAAACAGGAATTAAGTAGTTTCGCCATATATTAAAAGTCCAATATATAATAATTTGCAATCCTAATAAATGTTGGGTATGTTAATTTGAAATTTCCAAAAATTCTTATTTGGTGCGATCTGGCCATAATGGAAAATGTTATAAAAAACGCTTATTTTGAGGCGCTCTCACACTAGAATAAGTTGGACATCCAATTATCCCTGATCCCTGCCATTCACAATGCAAATTTGGGGTATGTTCGCCAAAGCATTCGCTTCGCCAAATAAATTCGCTTCGCAAGTGACAATACCCGCCATAATATCTGAATTCATGACACCTACACCCCTGACAAGTTTTCCGCATAGATTCCTTTTGCATTAGTGGCCTTGGGATGTTCTTCAAAAAAAAAAAAAATAAATAACCTTCGGTCGGACCAACATCTGGGCGTGCTCAGCTCCTTTGCGCTTCAAAAAAAATATTAACCTGGCCGAGCCAACCATAATGAAAATACTGAAAGATTTTATATTACTCATCACCATTACAACCATTCTCTTATTTTATGAATAAATGGATTTTAACTAAAGTTTAATATGGAATTAAGTTATTTTTACACTATTTAATATAAATGATTAGAAACTAATTAGTGAATTTTTACTGAATTGTGTATATTAAACAATGAATTTCGTAAGCCGATGTTCTGCAAGCTTTTAACCTTTAATTGGGGGAATGCTATTTAAAAATCCACACATACCTTGTAATCAGTTAAAGAATTATACCAGGTAAATCGAAACCATTCCTGAAATCAACTTTGAGCGACTTTTATTTATATTTAATCCTCTTTTTTTACAACAGTAGTTTTTTCTGATACATAAAGGCCATCTAAAAATTTACGAATGTCCTTGTTTTTAACTGTAGTCGACTGTTGGATCAAGGCAGCTGAACCAGAAACAGMCTCTATGTCATTACCTTCTACAATCAATTCATCCTTCTGTGCAGTAGAATTTACTACTGTCACACCAGGAGCCATTTGAACACGTCGAATATATTTTTCTCCAAGGAAATTCCGTATTTCGATTACAGTATTGTTTTCTGAAGTCACACAGTTAATTGGGAAATGAGCATAAACTGCACGCATTTTATATTGGAATCCATACGTCACACCTTAAAAAATAGAATACATATTAATAAGATATATAATATATTCTTTATTGTTGCTAGTTTACCTTTAATCATGTTTTCAATATGACTGCAAACAGTACGTACAGACGCCAGCTCTTTTTTTGCTCCAAACCATTTTTCTACTTTTAACGTACGTTTATCGACCATATACATATCCAAAGCAAGATGTTTAAAGCTTCGGACTAAACAACCTCTAGCTCCAGTTATTTTTACTATACGCGCTTTAACCGAAGCTTTTATTCCCTTCGGTATTTTTACACATTGACTGGAGTTGATTGTCCTCATTTTAGCATTCAGGGGTTACCTTCAAAGAAACAGGAACACTTAGTAAAATAAATGAACGTCAACAATTTTAATTTCGAAATCAACTAATATTCTCATTTCGTCAGTCACACAAAACTCTGTAATTAAAATCGTTTTGCGACTAAAACTGATTTTTAACCGATTTTAAACACTTAAAACCAAAAGTACCAAATACAAATCACATGCACTCTCACCGGAAGCGTGTCTTGAAAAGAAGGAAATTACTAGAGTTTTACGAAACGTATCGAAGCAGTAATAATCGATGTAAAGATTTCTGATTAACAAAACGTTGATACTTTTCTCTCTTATTGTTCCTAAGAACTCATTCAGATGAGATAATTTTTTTTGGGTTGTCACATATCTTAGCAAGCGGTTCCGTGTACGATTAGGGGAATTCTCTTGCTCTTGCAAGATTTCACGATGACACAAAATACAAAAATCCTATACCGAAATATGCAAGGCCAAGAGAGTACCTATTGCAATGTCGAGTGATATATGAACCTCAGATTCGGTCAATTTATTGAGAATGACTATTATACATGACTATTGTGAATTGGCACACATTCTGTATTCACTCTTAAGGTTGGTATCCAGCTCTCAAGTAATGCAAAAACTTCATATAAAAAAACGYTTAAGAAACGGTCAAGTAACTTTCCTGTGATAAATTAACTTGTGCTAGTACGCAGCTCTAAAGAAATATAATACTAATACTTTTAATACTTTTTTTCAATAAAATGCGAATATGGCAAACCTGGTTTTGCGAAGGAACATCGAATCAACAATTGYTTCTTGAACGAAATTCAAAGTAATTGTTAAATTCATCATAAATTAGTTAAATTCATTATTATGGATTATATTTCATTTTGAAATGTTGTATAAAACTTACCMATCATCAACAACATTCCTTAAATCGCAATGAAAATATTTATGTTACTTCACACATACATACGTACATAATACGCACAATGTTTATTTTCTTTGTTTATTCTCTCTTGCTCTTCTATTGTAGATCATTCACAATGCGTAACTAGCTGTCAGAGTTACTTGAAGAAATAATGTAGTTTTTTTCTTGAGCAATTGAGAGTTGGATACCAACCTTTAACAAAAAACTGGCCTGGGATTTAAAATAGCATCCACCGATTTCGGGGATGAAATGTGTATCAAAGGAAAGGTATATATAAGTTGTCGTTTAAGACAGTTTTTCTTTAAGATTTTTGCATTAAAGTAAAAAAAATTACTATTTTTAATTTGCTTATTAGGTAGATTGATATTTCAATACTTTTCCAATGCAAATCAAATGTAATAATTAACTACAACTCTAATTTGATAAATTAAATATTCCTTGATTTCATTCATGATATAATACAATAATTAGGATAATAATGCATTAAATTCTTGTTGTGGCTCATATAATAATGTCAGAAATTGAAATAATTAAGATTGTAGGTAAAGTAAAGGCAATTTCTAAATAAAAAAATTAAGAAAATAATTGTAATTAAAAAAATCGAAGGGAAAAAGGTAGTGGTGAATAAGAGTTAGGGTCAAATCCACATTCAAAAGGAGAACATTTTTCATGATCTGTTAAAGCTTCAATATAATAATTTCATTTTAGCTAAATTCTCTGCATTTGCACAATAACAAAAGGGTTGCATACTAACAAATAAATGCTATTGTGATACCTGCGAATTTTTAAAGGAAAGAAAAGGCAATGAGTTTCTTTTTTTTTCTTCTTTTTTACTTTTGAGTTTGGCGAAGCAATTAAGCAAGTGTTCAGTCCGTGATTTTTAAATTTTTTATTTCACTCAATTTGTTTTTTTTTTTATTAAAAAGAAAAAAGAGAAAAATCTGTGCAAAACAATCAGGCATGTTATTAAATATTTCTAAATTTTTAAATTCTTAATTAAGTGGAATATCACCAAAGTTGTGGAAACGTTTAGCACAAGGGAGAAGTGCATTGCATTTGCGGAAGAAGAGGGCTTAATTTTGAGCAGTAAAGGGCTTAATTTTGAGCCGTCAACATAAAATTACCATGATGCAAACTCTAACAGGGAATAGTAAGGTGGACCTGCTGAGTTGCTCAATCGATTAATATCTATGCCAATCTCTATTCAGTATATTAAAAATGGCACACAAGAGTTTTTTTACTTTTGTGACGTACTAACCATCGTAAAGGAGGAGAAGAGAAATTATCAGCTGATGCGACGTGAAGAGGGGAGTCCGGGGTTGAGTTTCTGTTGGAATTCAAGTTGGCCGACATTTAACCGGAAAATGGTTGCTGAATAAAATAGTACACAATTTATGTAGAACTCCACCCACTGCCTTATATAAAATAAAAAATTAATTTTGTTTGTTTTTGATTTATGAAATCATTTAATCAACGATATGATAAATGTTGAAGTTAATGAAAATGAAATGTCGACGAGCTGGGCGGCGAGAATCCAATTCCAACTTGGCGTCGCTGACGTTTGAATTGAATTTATTTGAACATCCTGAGGCCCCTAGGCGAATATTTTGCCTAGTTTTATATATATAATCTTACTGTTGGTGGAGTAACCGAGGCCGCAAAATATTAGTTGTAAGAAATTTTGGTTGTAATAGCCAATGGTATTTTGTGTAAATATTAGTGCTTGAGGCAATAATTGATTTTGCGTGCTTTGGCGACTTATTGTATTGTTATACCAAAARAGTGGTTTGCTTTTATTAATTTTATTAGCTGTTATTTACAATTTATTATTTAGCGGTTTGGCATACCGATAGTTTATTTTATGCCTTTTCTGTATTATCGGCAATGTTTAGACTTTATTTATTCCCGGCTTAAGAAGGATAGTAACTCCATGCCTGGCCAGATATGGCCAGAATGGGCACTCCTTAGCGCTGGATTTAGAACGGTGACAATAGAGGGATCTTGCGAGAGAATGGCCGTGAATGGAGAACGGCTTCGATTCGTGGAGTAGAGAATTCTTCATAATTAATTTGATTCTTTGTGTGGCTAATTCCCATAACCAACCCATATGAGAAGCGCTTGGATAGATCTAATAAGAGCGACCTTTGCCTTTTGTAAGAGTAGGTGCGTCTTGGGAGTACGGTGATTCCTTAACTTCCTTTTAAGATTTTATTTATTTTTGAAAATATATGAAAGGTTTCGATTGTCGACTATATATATGTTATATTATATTTTATGTTTCAGTGCATGTGCACTAATTTGGCATTTCGTAGCCAACCACCGCTCTAGCAAGTACCCTCCATTATTTGATCGAGTAGTTGTCGCTTTCGAGTAGCGCTTACAATACTGATCTTCTCGAGTTTTATTTAATATTCGTGGAGGTTTCCCTATCTCTTGAAATTACCTTAATTCGTATTGATTTGATTTTTTCTCAACTTGAGTTGGTAAGGTGGTAACTAACTAGTTCTCTAACTAGACCACTTTGTATTTCGCTGTGTAGCATTTGAGCCTTTGAGCAACAGTGCGGCTCTTGGCAATTTTCGGGATTTGCTTTTGCAATTAAACCCGTGGTTCTTTGTGTATATGCGCTCCTTTGAGGTGAGATGGGATACCTGCTGTAATGAAGCATTGTATGATGTCTTTCATGACAATATAAGCAGTTAAATTTGCCTTTGCAATTTTTAAGATTATGTGTATGGGACAAGCAGTTTGTACAGATTCTTTTTGATCTGACAAAGTTCTTCCTTTCGTTAATGTCTAATTTTTTAAACCTCTCACAAGTTTTAAGTTATACCCTCTTTAACATGGTTCGCACGACGTTTGCTTTCCCGTTCGGATATGAACGATTGCATTATGTGAAAGCGTTTATTTAAATTGTTTTTGCTACTAACTTGGGGTCTAATTGAAGCTTCGGTTTTGGTCATGTTTAATGTTCTTAGTTTTGATTATATTTTCTTCTAGCCTTTGCGCAATTTCATATTGGGTGGGAGATGATACGATTGCTCCCATAGAAGTAACGACTTTTCTGGTAATGCAACGGTGCAAAGGGGCGCAAGGTGCAGCGGCTTACACCCTATTGTACCTAAATCGGCAGGATTGTCAGCACTGGCTACGTGTCGCCAAGTGGCTGACCCCAATAGGTCAAATATTTGTGACGCACGATTAGAAATGTACGTTTTCCATGTATTTCAGAATCGGACCAGAGATGCAATCTGCATTTCTTCATGTCTAAGTGGGTCCGCTTCATGGAATCCAATTTTGCGAGTAGTAGCGCATCACAGAGCTCAAGTCGAGGTAGACTTAGCGTTTTTAGAGGAGCCACTTTAGCCTTGGCTACTAATAAGTGGCTTGTGGTCGCGTTATCGCTTTGTGTGCGCACATATATTTTTGCACAGTAAGCCTTTTCAGTGGCGTCACAGAAGCCGTGTAATTCGACTTTGTATTCGGGGGAATAGTTTAACCACCGTGGGATTTATATCTGTAAGATATCGTTCAGATTGTTCGCGAACTGGGACCACTTTTCTGAACGAAGTAGGTTTACTTGTTCGTCCCAGTCGGTTCCATCTAGCCATAATTCTTGTATCAGGATTTTGGCTTGTATCATAATTGGCCAAAGCCATCCTGTGAGGTCGAAAAGTTTTGCCACAGAGGATAGAATTTGGCGTTTTGTAATGGCGGATAATGCAGATATTGACTCCGTAGTGTATGAAAACTGGTCAGATATCGCATTCTATTGAGAATGAGTCTTTGTTGTATTTTCCTTTTCGAATTTAAGGAAATTAGTGTCCAACAAGTTTTCTTTCGGTATATGTTTTACTATATCTGAATGATTTGCAGTAATCTTTTTCAGTGGAAACCCTGCGGTTTAATATGCGACTCTTATAAGCTGTGATAAGGATTCGCATGCTTGTGTCGTCAACATACGTTTGCGTTTTGAACACCTGCGTTGCCAGAGGGAATTCTGACTTGGTGTTTTCTGCCAATTCGTGCAGTGTCCGAATGGCTAAGTATGGGGCACAGTTGACGACAAAGGTAACTGTTTTTAACTTAAAGTCGCGTAGTGGACTAGTGGGGGATTTTCTTAAAATAATTTTTTGAAAATCTTGATCGTCCTTAGGTACGACAATTTGTTCTTCTAACTCCCAAAATTTTCTTAATTGCGTATTAAGGTATTCGTTGGAGATTTCCTCAACTTGTGTTGTCATCGTGGCAACTGGTTCAGCAACTAGGTCACTTAGGCCCATCCGAAAATGGTATTTTGCGCCAGAAGTGTTTTTGTAAATTTCTCAATACCTTCGGGTGTTATCTGTGGTATGAGATCGCTGCCTAGTAGAAGA